ACTTTATATTTATTATGTGGAGATGTGTGTTATTGGGGTTCAACCTTAAAGGTCACTGAGAAGTCAGTCGACTCCCAGTTGGAGAGCTTTTATATCTTTGGTTGGCATGAAACTTGTTTGACTCATTAGTAACCCATCAGCAACTTCCAGTCACAGAGATAATGGTAAAATCGTGCCACGAAAATGATTGAGACAAGTAAGTGGCGATGCAGATGTGAGGTGGTGAAATGAATATAAATCCACTTCATCATAAACATGAAGCCAGCTGTGCTAATTGTGCTTGTTAGGCATAACTGTTCCATAAGAGCTGAGATCTTGGATCTTTGTGCTGAACTGTGTCCAGTAGTAGAGGGACTGACCTGACATAACTGACCCATCAGAGAACAAATACAAATACTATTCACCACTCTGGGTAATTAACTGACAAGTATGTGTTTGATACGATTAACACTGTGTAATATATTCCCTTTTAGGAATAAAATTATTCTTTTAGATTGTATAGATCAGGGATATTGTTGCTGTGCCTGAATGTAATACTACCTTTGGCTGAGATTATAAAAATGCTAAGGAGATACAACAAGTTACTTCACATTCTGACAGTGCAGATTAATTCTCTTTTTGCCCCCACCTTGAAATCTGACAACTTTTAATTTCAGGCAGTGTCCTCTGTCGTATACACTCTCACTGCATTATCCTCAGCAGCAACACATTGTGGCCACCAATCAGTCTTTCTTCACCTAAACCTCACTCGTATGGGCGAATGTGGGCATGTGGAGGGCGATAGGTGATATGAGGCAGAGCCATGCAGGTGGAATAAAGTGAAAATTGCCTTTAGGTGTGCATATGCACAGTTTTATAAATCTTATTCCTAATTGGCGAATGCCATTTTTGGCTTTTGTGCACATGTGCACTTTTAGTATGAATCTTAAATACACTTTCATTATTGTGGCCCAAGAATGCAAAATATGTTTTTCTCAATATGAAGTTGAAAGAACATAAACCTATAGGCTTGTTACTTTAGCCAGAAGGGTCCCATGATTATATGATAAGCAGCACTGAATGAAATGAAAAACTTGAATAGAGAATTGGGAAAAACTCTATGAAAACCAGGGGCCCTCTCCCACAGTGGAGCCAGAGGGACACTTCAGGCAATCCTTAAGATTCAGAGCCAGGCCGGTGCATCACTTACGCTGTCATCTATAGTGAAACAGCTGAGAAAATGAACAGCTGTGCACCTGATTGTGCATGCACAAAGCCCATCTGCAAGGAAGTATCGCCATGATTACTTTCCTAAGAAGATGACTCTCACCAAGACAACTTGAAAATAATGATCTTCACAAGGACGAAAGCATCAGTTGTATATTCATGGATTGGATAATCACCCTTGATCACATCAGAGATTGTGGACTTTGGTGTAATTCATTTCGGTGTTTTTCTCTAATGGAAAAATATTTGATTATCTGTATCCAATTAATTATATATAAAGTAACACCACGGGATTCAATGTCACCAACATAAGCATAAAATGACCACTGTTTATATCCTGGTTTGTATCACAGCAGCTAGTGTGTAAATACCACATTTATTAACCATAACCAAATCATTTTAGTCACATAAAACACGCACACTGTTTGTGTTGTGAGAGAACTTACCAAGGTTCTATTTTGTTGTTTGGCTAAAGAGCATGTTGAGAACAACTGAACTGATGAGTTTCCAAAATTCCAGACTTTTTTTTGTTTTGATAAACCTTTTCAAGGAAAGTTCTCCTATACCATTTTCAGTCATGAACACCAGAAAATGTCTGAACAATGGGGTCTGGACTTTCTCCTGAGTTTGCCCTAAGCAGGAGATTTTCTTTTCAGATGTATTCACAACAACACAGAACTCTCCACAGTGTTCAGATGAGGGGTGGTTCAGCAGAGATGACTTGTTTTTGTTTACAACACATCAACACTGGCTTCTCCCATATCATCAAGTTGATATATTTCTATTCTTTTTTTTTTTTCAATTTCCGTCACGTGTTCAACACAACCACTAGCTCCCTGTGAATCCTCTGCACAATCTCCTGTTGTTTTCTCACATCAGCTCATTCAGAGATTCTCTTGGCAGGAGAACTCAGCTTCCCCGGAGAATTTTGGGAGATTATCCGTAGGTCAGTGCAATGTCTGAAAGCAGCTTTAGTGAATCAAAGTGAAATTGTATCAATTTATATACTCCAATTCAACAACTCAGAATTTGCATAAAAGTGCTGGACACTGAAACCGAAATTATACTTTTAGAAATCTAATGAGAGTCAAAGCTAGTCATGTTGCTCTGATAGATCTGCAGTCACTTTATTTTTTTTTTATGTGAAACTGGCAACAAAAAGATCTTAAAGTTGATGAAAATCGCAGGCATTATGTGTACACAAGATGTCCCTGACAGACCTCCAAAATGCCAGTCATGGCAGGAAGAAGACTTGTGACATAACTGTCAAGCCTCTTTTTATATAAAATGAAGAGGAGTGAAGCAGAACAGAACACAAAATGGCTGCTGCAAAAAAAAAATGGCTGCAGATGGGAGCCGTGTGGCACGGTGTAAAGTCTAAAGAATTACGGACAAGCAAAGGAGGAGTGAATGATGGAAAGAGGGAGAGCAGCCAGTCAGTGGATCAGTCACTCCAGGCCTGGCCTCTCGGCAGGGGGTTGTGCTCGGGGCGAGATCACAGGCCTGCTGCCACGCCGAAGCCTTCACAGGCACACAGCGACAGATAGGAAGCTGCTGGCACCAGGTCGCCTCACTGATTCACCCCATCACTGCCTCAGCACAGCCATCTTCTCTTTCACACATGTTCCACTTACTGAGCTTGACCTACATGTATCTGCTCTAGTCCTTTATGAAGAACCTCTGCAGATCTGAAATAGTGACGATCTAATTAACTGTTGGTACACATACATGATCTACCACTCAGATTAAGCAAATTCATGTGCAAAAACTCAGTGTGATTTATTTGGGTTTCTTATTGTGTCTCTTAGTCTAGTTTCACCATAATAGGTCTGGTCTTACATAGCAAGCACATGTTTATGTTTACGTCTCTTACACATTCGAACTTTAAATGGGTCTGTTCAATTATTTGAAAAGATTGACTGTTTGCCAATCGTTCCTCCCCCCTACCTAAACATGTTAAGTGAATCAGATTTTAGACCCCAGTTTACAAACACTACAAGACAAAGGTAGTTGACAGGATTATATATATATATATTATAAGTATTTTCACTTATACCTACTGAATTGGTTGAATAAATGGACTTCATTTTGAAAGATGACACTAGCAATGCAGTTATGAAGTGCCCCCCCCCCCCCTTTAATTCTTCTCCCCATTCTTCTACCATCCGCTCTGCTGCGACCCTGACAGTTGAAAGTCAGTCTGCTTCTATTAGTATCAGCCTGTGCTCATCATTATCCATCAATTAGACTGGCAGCAGCCAGGGCCCACAGAGGAACATCTGCAGCCTTTCGGCTTTCTGCGTGGCCTCGGCACTCTGAGCTTGCTGTGCCTCGCAGAGTTCCCTGTTTACAGAAGGCTTGTGTAAACAGGGTGTGAGCCAGTATCAAGGTTGAAGCCTGTAAAACACCTGTGTTCATTATATTAACGGGACTAGGGCTGGCTGGGGTACCTCTGTGCTTTATTAGCTCTGACTGAATTGTGCAACACAACAGTTAAAACTGACTGACCTGAAATACAGCACTAAATTCTTCATCCTGTTCTGAGCCGTGTGTTAAGATTACATATCTTCTTTACCTCATATATGAGCTGAAAAATGAACCTTTGTAACTATAGCTTAATGTGGTTTCTGTTGACTCTTCAAGTTATATTTCAGCTGTTTTATTCTACATTCTTGCACATCAGCTTTTTTTTATTTCAGCTGTGGACCAATGTTTTGGGTTCTCAACCAATTTAGTTTTATTTTAAATGCTCTGAATGGTTTAAAATTGTGTGAACCAGATTGGAACCCACTCTATGTTAGTGGGAAAAGGGGTGTCTTTAGGAAATAACAGCACTTTGTTTAAGGTCAGTGGTGGTTTTGGTCGAATATAAATAAAAATGCCAGATGTCAGATGAGATTTTTCAGTGTTAAAGCAGAGTAGGTTGAAGGTTAGAGTCTAAAAAGAGCCATACATAGAATACTTAAATAATGCTGCAGTCACCACAAGTGGATATGTTATTGCAACATTATATATATTTGGTGTAAAACGTTGTCTGCGAACATTTTACTGATGTGTTCCAAAAAGCAGATTTGCTGTTGTAGGTGAGTTGTATATTGTAGTGTTGAAAGATGAAGGTAAAGGGGAACCCAGTGATTTAGAAAGTGATGCCAAGGGATTTTGACCAAGTGCCTGCATCTGATGATTTGGGTCAGTGTTGATTAACACATTTCTGTCATTGAAGAGACCTTAATAGTCAATACTGCTAAACTGCCAATGGCAGTCTAAGAAAATGAAGCGCTGTGAGAATATTAAGCTTTTCCCCTCATTAGGATCTCCATTCACTGATGCCTCATTGGCTGCTGGATCTTCCCTACGCAGACTTTTTGAATATATCCTTAGCCTATGGGATTATATTTGATTTAGCCCCACATGACAAGAGTAGTTTCTGAATCCCAGGCAAAATGGTGTGTGCATCACAGTAGAGACACACTGTTCTTAATCAGTTGCTAATGGCTTGATGAGGCTGTGTGACTGACACAACATGAACATCTTCAGATGGGAGATGTCTTTCTGCTCTGAGCGCTCCCTCAGAATCATTAGGAAACTCTGTGTGTGATGATATTGTGGGGATGACATCACACGCTTTTTCCAGCCAAATTCACCACAAAATGTTGGTGGATTACAGATGCTCATGTGAAGGGTTGTGGATTCATTGCTTTTTGGTGGGTGTTTTCTGAAGTAAACCAGTTTTGCGTGCATCTCAGGAAGTATCAGATGAGGATATGCCTTGTGTGTTTGTGTGTCTGTTACAGCAATGGTACACCAGCACTATGAACCTTTTAGGAACATGGCTGACTGACCGAATGGACCTTCAGCTCCACCTTTACCAGCTGAAGATTCTCATCAGGATTGTCAAGGTGAGAATAGCTGTTTTGCACTTTTTAAACCACATTTTAAAATGCAAATTGTCTTAAAGGTTCAGTGTGTAGAATTTAGTGACATCTAGTGGTGAAGTTGCATGTTGTAGCTGAACACCCCTCACCTCACCCTCCCCTTCCAAACATGGAAGAGAACTTGTGGTAACCTTCAGTTGTCATAAAAACTCAAAAGGTGTTTAGTTTGTCCAGTTTGGGCGACTGTAAAAAAAACATGGCGGCCTCCGTAGAGAGGAGCTGCTCCTAATCTAAATATAAAGTATTTAAATATAAAGGGCCCATTCTAGGGTAAAGAAAACAACAATTTTTACAATTTAGATGAAATATCACTAGGATTATTTTATATTCTATTTCTGCCAATAGATCCATTTCACCTAAATCTTACACACTGAACCTTTAAGCTTCTGCTTTATGGATATTGTTGAGAAACAAGGAAACGTGTTTTTTTACAGGTACTTTTTGAATGGGCAGATATAGGTTATATAATTATTGTGTTTAAATAAACAATGTTGACTACCAGTGTGAGGTGGGAAACAAGCAGTGGTCCCTTTGCTTAAGTCAATTGTGTTGACTGAACAGAACATTTAAAGTTTTCTGTTTTAAACAGACTTTTTTCTCTTTCTGAAATAAATCATCAAATCAAACATTTTGTGATTTAGTCACTGATTGTTCTTACCCAGGACCTTCGCCACTAACCACCACCCTAACACCCACTATAATACCCATCCTGTTGACTTCCATTACTGACTCAGAAACTCTGCATGAAGAGAATAAAGGCTTCATATCCTTTCAGCTCTCAGAAATATGAGACGTGACCTATTTCATTATAGTTGGATGTGATTCCGTTACTGATGCAAAGCGAGGTGATAATATCAAGGCACGATGATGAAACAATTGGAACCATGACAAGTCATCTCAATTCACTGTTACACATATTTTGTTGATAATAATTTCACATCCTCCATAAAGATTGCTGCCATGTATGAAATGTGAGTATGAGGACAGAAAGCTAACAACCACGTTTTCAATGCAGCATGTTGATCTGGAAGGATCCATCTGAACAAATCTATCATGAACAAGAATGGGGGTCAGCATCGTGGATCATATGTTAACCCCCCCCCCCATCTCTTTGGCTATGTCAACACTAATACTCTTGTTTTAAAAATGGCATTTTTTTAAAAAAGGAAATGAGAACCTAAAAGAAAACTTCTGGTGAACTTAACATCAAATCAATGGTACAAGGCAAGGGAAGGCATTCT